ACTATGCCACCAGGCCGGCCCCAATTGCTCTGTAGTTTGAGAAATCTTTCTTTCAACTATTTCTTGAAAATTCAGATGTCTTCCAGCAGCTCTCCTATTGTTACTGATCATTCTAAGGCATCTAATAAGGGTTCGGTCTCGTTTACAAGTTGCCTTTGTGAGTGGGATGTAATTAGCCTGGGCCTGGAGACTGGAACTCATTTATAGTGTCTAGGTCAGCCATATCACTTTACAGGTCGGGAAGCTGAGGTGCCCTGAGATGGAAGAGATTTCCTAATATCACACAGGTAAATAGCTGAAAAACTAGAACTCGAACCCAAATCTCCTGACCTCCAACCGGTGTTCTTTCTATGATACTACACCCTGGGTTCATTCTTAACAAGGCCTGTTAGTTTTACTCTGTTCCGTTACCTCTGAATAGTTTCAACTCCGGGGAGCCACGTTGCTAGTATATGCCGTTGGTCATGAGGGATCTGATTGTGATGGGTCAGTGCAAATAAATGACCTCCACTAGGAGAATTTATCAACTCATTTCCTAAGTGTGGTACCTAAAGAATAGGACATTAAGAATCAATATAAATTTTGTTTAAATACATTCATGCTGTTAGAAAGTGTATTTATCCTGATTCTGTAGTAATCTGTTTAATTCGAACCATTCTGAAATGACTAGTGGCCTTCTGTTTAGACCAGGAGAGTCTCTGCCAGTTAAGTTCAGTTTTCTGAGGACCCTGACTACCTGTACTACAGATATCAGCCATGCTGAGATGTCCCTTCAGTCTCTCTTGCTCTAAGAGTTAGCTTGTGTAGATACAGTCTTATAGTGGTAGCCTGTAAAAGAAGACATATATGTAATTATCTGAGTGAAATAAAAGTAGTCTCTTCTGTTCATGAGGTGGTGTGTGGACACTCTTATACTAGTTTTCTTAATACCTCAGGAAGACTAAAGAAAAATTCATGAACTTTCTTAAATTAGAAAGTATGGCCATGAGCTCTTGTCATTGCTAAATTGAGTTGATGACAGTTTCTTTGTACTATTTTACAATCCTCTAGGGCTAATTTTTACCATTAGCTCTATGAAGCAGCATGGCAGAGTGGAAAGAATTTATGCTTTAAATTCAGTTATGCTGTAAATCCAGTTTTATTTGGGATCTGCTGTTTGCTGCCTGTGTGATCATGGGAGAATTATTTAACCTTTCTGAGTCCTAATATCTTTAGCTGTCTGTTTGTGAAGATTAGAAATTATATATGAGGACTCCAGTATGGTGCCTTGTATTGGAAATGATATGTGAAGACCGGTGGTATGGTGCCGGGTATTAAGTAGGTGATAAATAAATGATGATGGTTGTGGTTATTATTATATATATGCACATACTAATTTTGTTCCTTGTATATTTTAATTTCATCTTTTTGATTCTGTATTTTAAAAACCATGTAATTTTAAACTTAAATTATGGATTGTTCATCTTTGACAGTGAGAAATACTGCATTTTGGGGATAATTTGCATCTATAAGTATTTTATTTTATTTTATTATTTGGTGAGGAAGATTAGCCCTGAGCTAACATCTGTTACCAATCCTCCTCTTTTTGCTGAGGGAGATTGGCCCTGGGCTAACATCTGTGCCTATCTTCCTCTACTTTATACGTGGGATGCCGCGCCACAGCATGGCTTAATGAGCGGTGCGTAGGTCTGCGCCAGGGATCTGAACCTGCGAACCCCCGGGCCGCCAAAGTGGAGCGCGTGAACTTAACCACTAGGCCACTGGGCCGGCCCCTAGAAATATTTTAAAAGGTTGCTTCATAATTTTGAAATCATTAGATAAAGAATTTTGAGTCTTGGAGATATACATTGGGTCAACAGCACTTTGTGTGGAATTGATTTTTAACTGTAAACGTGATCATGGCATATGAGGACATGTTTTAGTCTGATTGAATATACATCCATAATAGGACTTTTTTTCTTGGATAGAGTATTTCAGTATCACTAAGTCGTCTTTCCTCATATCAAACATTAATGCAAAATTTAAAGCTAAGTCTTTGAACATTCATTTTATACTTAGTTATCTCTGTTAGGCTTGAATGGTATTTCATTGTTACATTTTTCCAGTGAAGACTGGTATAATGATATTTAATTTTAGCTTTAAGGTAAGGGAACTAAATTGTTTTAAAATAATTGGACACTTCACTTCTTTCAGCTGAGTTAGTTATGAAGTGATTAAGTTTGTAGCCTTGCTGTTATGTCACTTGCATTTGTATTATATCACTTGCTAGAACAACTCCATAAAGAATATAGAGCAGGTGGCAGTGGCTTCCCTTTACCACTGAGACCGTAGAAGCGCTGATAGGAAGTTAATGGAAGTGCTAGGATTAGGAAACCATTCTCTTGAATCAAAGCCAAATATTTTGTCTCCTGAACCATGCTGGATGTTACAGGTGAAAATATTCTAGTGTGTAAATTGCTGTTCATGGATTTTCTTGGGGACTGACTCACTTGATCTTTTAAATCTCTGATATCAATCTTAATTTTCTAACCTTTTAAATATGGTTAATATAAGTATTAGTGATTCATATTTAGTGGTATCTTTTTATGCCCCTCCTCTCTTCCTCCCCCCATGCTCCCAGATCCTTAGGCACAGAACACTAGCTTAGGTGATAATAAGAAAAGTTAGTCTTCTACTTAACTTTTTTGATTCGAGTTGCCCTTTTTTAGTCTTTTTATTTAATTTCTTTCTTTGACATTTATTTAAGAATTGATGTTAGGCTTTCTGATTAAAACACACACACACGCAAACACACACACACGCGTTGCTTTTATTTGAAGAAACAAAGGAACTTGTATGATAGAAAGACACACAAAGGATATTAACAGACAACTCAAAGAGAAATAGTACTACTACTACTAGTAATGATAATAATACCATACATATTTTTTGCCATTGCTAGGCACTGTCCTAAGTGCTTTATAGATGTACTAACTCATTTAATCAACTCTATAAATGCCATTATCCTCGTTTTCCTAGTGAGGCAACTGAGAGACAAAGGTTAAGTAATTTGCTAGACACTTGCTGCTTATAGCTGGTAAGTACAGAGCTGAGATTCAAACCCAGGAGGCCTGGCCCCTGGTTATACTTCTGATTAAATATATGATAATAATTTCCTCTAAGCAGAACAAGAATTATAAATTAGTACAAGGACATACTGTTCTATTAAATTGATAGGTATTTTAAAAGATGCCGTTTGGGAGGAGGTTATTTGTATTGGTGGGACTGTTAATTGAAAAGTAGTATGGTAGCACTCATCCATGAGTCTTAAAATATTCATGTTCTTTGACTGGTATTTCTACATCAAGCAATCTCTCCTAAGGAAATAATCGAGAAAATAACAATGTTCAAGGATGTTCACCAATTATAATAATTATAATAGTGAAAAAAATGGAAGATTGTCCAGTTGTTATGGAATAAATTATGTTTTTTCCAAACAGTGAATAGAATATTATGCAAACATTAAAAATTGTTTTTGAAGAATAATTAGTAATATACAAAAATACTTATAATAAGCAAAAAAAGCAGGCTATAAAACCATGCACTATGGTTCCAACTTGAAAAATGTGTATGTACAGAAACACAAGAAGAACATATAGTAAGATGCTGATAATTATTTCTGATGTGATTATAGAAAATAATTATTTTGGGTGTGATTAGTTTACTTTTTATTTATATTATTTATTTTTGAACTTTTTGCATTGGCCATGTAATACCTTTACAGTCAGAGGAAACCAAGTGGCATAAAAAGACCTAAATGATGCCACTGCCACCTTTTATGAAGAATATTCATTAAAGATTAGATTTGCATATCTCATAGTGTAAAAGGATAAATTACTGAATTTCAGGCAGTTTTCGTTTACATATTATTATTTTTGGAACTCTTGTTTTGAAATGAAGCCTTTTGTTTTGGATTGAGGAAAATTGTTTTTTTTTCCTTAAATGTGTTGGTTATAGTGATGGATTGCTTTACCACTTTAAATTTGTTTCAGTTATGTTAGTAGACGATATGGTTATTTTTCTTCCCTGTGGTACTTGTTTTTTGAACAACAACTTTTTGACAGAAACTATTGATTTGCTGGTGGGGGGGTGAGGAGGGGCAAGATGAGTGAGTAAGGATTGAATGCAAGGGACACATGGGCTGTTTGGTACAGAATTATATTATGAATCAGTTTTACTATCAGTTTGGAATGCATAGTTGTAGTTTATAGCTGCTTAAGTAAAGAATTCAACTTTTGTTTGTGTTGAAACATCTTTGAAGTTTAGTTCCTTAAATCTAAGATTTAAGAAATTTTAAAATACAAATCTATGTAACAGAACAAAGTACAGGTTCTGCTCTTCATCTGGTTTAAATTTCTCATGTTTTAAAATGTGTTTAAAGAACAAAAGACCAGACTGCATTAGGGAATTGCTATAGAAGCAAAGCTTTTCTGCGTGCTACATGTGAAATAACGTGAGTGCGTCGTCGGTAACTTTGCGTCAGTTTCATTAGCAGCTTCTTTGGCGTTGGTAATGAGACACCGTGGTGCTGCACGCTAATAACTGCTTCTCTGATGAAAAAGGATTCAAACGGTAGCTTCTGATGAGAAGAAATCCTTTGAAAGAAATGATTTCAATTCTGCAAACTTATTTTTTAAACGCTGCTTTCTAAATATAGTTTATGAATCAAATAAAGAATAATAACAGAAATAGTTTTATATAGAGAGACTTTATAGTAAATGTTTAGGTACAAAGTGGTTCAACAGGAAATAATGATTATCTGTGTGTTGTATTGTGTTATTTAATGTAAGGAACTATGTAAAAATCTTGATAGGAAGAAATGAAATTTTTTCCCGTTTAAAAATCAAGAAGAATTGACATACATCATTCAGTGGGAGAAATCTTATGATGTGAAGTGTAGTGTAAATATTTATTTTAGCAAATTTGCTTATCTGTACTGTAATTTTCTTGTCTTTTTCTAGGCTGAACTCACGGGAATCAAATGGCGTAGGTACAATTTTGGAGGGCATGGGGACTGTGGACCCATAATTTCAGCCCCAGCCCAAGATGATCCAATCCTGTTAAGTTTCATCCGCTGTCTGCAAGCCAACTTGCTGTGTGTATGGCGTCGTGATGTCAAACCAGATTGCAAAGAGTTATGGATATTCTGGTGGGGAGACGAACCCAACCTAGTGGGTGTAATACATCATGAACTGCAGGGTAAGGTTTTTGTTTTTTCTTAAAAATTACTTGCATCATATATTTTTGGAACAGTGGTAAATTCTGAAAAGGTTATTAAGACTTGCTGAGAAGAAAAACCCGTGTTTAATGGGTGTGTCTCTCAAAAGGAACATTCTCACTCTCATCCTTCTTCTTTCCACTCCCATTTTTTCCAAATTCTCTTGTCGTTTCCTAGTCATGCTAGGAATCAGAACCTTGTGAGCCTCTATTATTAAAGGAAAGTATTGTGTCCCCTGGGTGTGTTGGGTTGGAAACAAGGCTAAGATTCACTGTTTTAAAATGATGGTGAATTGTGAGTAATGAGCAAGTCAGTGAAATGAACAGAATTGTTTTTTCTTGGACTGTAGCTGTTGTGGTTCATTGCCAGCTGAACTCTGGTGGAAAATTGTGAAGTGATAATAGAAAGTTAGTCTAAGCCTTATTGGACTAAATTATGAGATGACATTGGGTCGTATTTTGAAGAAAGATTACCATAAAGGATCCGGTCTGATTTTGGCGTAGTAAGTTTTCCTTTGCTTTGTTTCCTATGTTTTATGTAATTAGATGATTCTAGAAAATATTTGCTGCAACGTTGCCTAATTTTTAACTTCAGACTACATCTGATATCTGGAAACTTTGAATTAATATAAGAGCTTCATTATTCTAAGCTACTTTTTATATTTACCACAGATTTATAGCCAGAGGAAATTTTATCAATATTCTTTGAATTTCTAGTAAATGTTTTATGTTTTTATGTAAATGTTTGCATCTAGTATGCTAAGGAATTTTTCTAAATCAAGACTAATTCCCATCTTTAGTTAGGGTAGGGCGTAGTCTCTTTTTGACTTAGGGCCAACTTCCTAGGGCCAACTTTTATGTTCAAACTACCCTATATTTTGTTAATTTGTGGTTGAAAAAGTTCAGATAGTATTTGAAATGTTTTGTTAGTTGATATGTTTAATATTTTTTTAAGGAAGGAGTAAAACTAACTTTAATGTATATTTGAGGGTCTATTCTAAATAGTGTCTAAATTTGCTTCAAGGATTTCCTGCCAACTTCTGTTTGACACTTCCTAGCTTTTCTTTGCAGCCGTTTTTTATCTGTGATGTCTCCTGCCACAACAGCCAGAGGGCAGTAAACCACAGTGGACTAATTGAGCTGTTGACGTTATGGGCCACATTATGGGCCATTTGTCTATTCAACTCCAACTTTTCTCCTCATGTTTTTTAGAGTATTGGGTTTATAAATATAAGAACTAGTTCTGGGTAAGATTGCTTATTTAGCTAGTTAGTCAGCAAAATCTCACAACTTATATACATCTTAAAGCTTATTTCATGTAGTGAGCGGTGAACTCAGGTAAAATTAGTTTTAAACATCTGGATTCTGTTTATCAGAATTTTAAAAATAAGATATCTTCTAGAAGATACTTATAACACTTAGATTTATCCATTTTAGTATCAAAACATGTATTTTGGTTCTTTTAAAAATTTTACACACGTAGTGGAAGAATATAGCGTTTTTGTTTTTAGTTTCTTTCTCCTTTATTTTTCATGATTGTTTCCGACTTAATCTCCTTCCATTTCTCTAATTCATATTGATCCCTTATGTTTTAACTTTTTGGTCTGGTCTTTATTTGTTAGTAGCACATCACCATTTTATAACGATGAAACCAAATCCAACTGTTCATTAGGTTTATTTAGTTGATGTATAAAGTTATTTACCCATACAAAGAAAGTACATGATCAGTGTTCCTAGAAATAACTTAAGTTATTGTGTTGTTTCTCATGGACTTTGTTACTGAGTTAACAAAAAGATGTAGGCTGTTTAGATGTTTTAAAGTTGCTTTAGATTGCATATGTAGATTCACTAATGTATTAAGTATTTTTGTGGTAAAGAATTAAGCAAAGATTAACTTTTTAAATTGTTTTTATAAATTACAGAAATACTACATTTAATTAGAAAAGTAGGAAAGCAGAACCGCCAAAGAGAACAAAGAAACAAAAACCCTAAAGTTTAAAACAGAGTTTTAATATTTGGTGTTTTTATTTGTAAATGAAATTGGTATCATACTGTTTTGTATTCACTCCTTTTCACTTAACATTGTATTGTGAATGTTTTCTCATGAGAATGATTACTTTTTATTTTTATTTGCTTTCTCATTGAGTCCCATAATGGGGTGAATTGTTTTTTCCTTTGCATGCCACCAGGAAAGTATTACAGTGATGAAATAATCATAACTTCGTTAAGTACCTGTACTCTTTTTACTCTCTTGAATTTGTGAAAGTTATTAGACTGAAGCATATGAAGTGTCCATTTTTGTAGGTAAAAAGTGGTTGAAAAGGGTAGTTTTATATGGTTCAACCTAATATTAGAAAATATTTGAAACTTAATTAGAAAAATGAGTGGCATAAAGACAACTTTGTTTCCAGTGAGGGAGAATATGACATGTAGAGCAATCATGAAAAAATGAAGGACACAAAGGGAATATTTTAATTGGTAGTCACACAAATTGAGGATATTTTGGAATCAATTTCATTCTATAGTTTATGTAAGAGTCATTTCATCTTGGGTAAAATAAATTTTAGCAGAACCCTGTTAACATTAAGCATGGTGGTACCATTATTTGTAACATTTTCTTTTGGGACATTTTACTTACTGTTCCTTAAATGCTTTTTAGTTATGTTATTAGACATTTCCCCTTGTCTTTACAGTGTACTCAAAATAGCATGCTACCAACCTCCTGACAGTAAAGTATAATACCAAAGCAACCATCTTCGATTTAAATGTATAAAGTATCCCCATAGAAAGAGAATAATCCTACAGGATACACACACACCTTAGTTTTATAATATTAGACTTTTTGTTTAAATGCTTGAAATATTTATGAAATAGTCTGAGAGAAGACTAAAACACATTTATAGCCTGTCCCTGCCACTTGGATAAACGCTTTTGGGCTCTTGTCTGGGGAATTGCTGTTTGTACTGTATGGCATAGTGATTCATAGAGTGGGCTTGGGTTTGAGTCCCTGCTCTATCACTTGGTAGCTGTGTATCCATGGTCAATTTATTTAACTTATTGGTGCCTCAGTTTCCTCACTGTCAGTTGGGTTATAAGGATAAAAAAAGTACTTAGAACAGCACAGAGAACAATCTGTAATTGTAACTATTACAGCTGCTACTACAATGACAACAATGAACTCATACATCAAAATTAAAAAACATTTTGGTATTTTTTAAACAATTGGTTTATTCTGTGTAAAATTCAGTGCTTGCTAATGTTCGTCAAATATTAATTTTTAAAGTATACTTTTAGGTTGAAGTAATCATATTTTTGAGTGTGAGTTTTAGTGTTTAGGTGGAATAACTGGGAATAATAAAATGTTAGAGGCTCAAAGATACCCCTGCTCATATGAAATTTGTCTAGACTTATACTATAAACACAATTTCATAGTAAACCTTAAATTGTGTTATAAAGAGGTCAGAATTAAGATTTGATTCTGTTGGATCCCTGGAAGGTAAATTTGTAACTTTACTGCCTTTTCCGCATAGTGGTGTTGAGGCAGGGCACTGGCTGAACACCAAACAGGGGTGTGTGTCCTTCCTTGTGTCCATACGTGTGTTTAATGGGTCCAATTACAGGGGTTTGATGGAATCTCTACCCTTGATAAGTTTATAGTCTAAAAAGGGTATAAGACAAGCACGCAAATGTATAATGCAAAGAACACTTTAAGTATATAAGAGAAATACACAGGCATGTGTCACTTAACAATGGGGATACCTTCTTGGTATCGCGTTGTTAGGCGATTCCGTCATTGTGCAAACATCATAGAGTGTACTTACACAAACCCAAATGGTATAGCCTATGACACAGCTACACTATATGGCACTAATCTTATGGGACTACTGTCATGTCATGTGGTTCATCGTTGACCAAAACATCGTTATGCGGCACATGACTGTAGTAGATTGATTACTTTCCAAATGGGCAGACATTCAGTTCCAGGACTAATGCGTAAGTGTTCCATAAACTTATAACGAGAACATCATGAGCCCTAGTGCCAAGGGTTGATAACTTTCTTGGTTTCTGGTCTGATTATTCAACCTCTAACATTAAGCAAGACCTGTGATCAGGCTTGGACATGTAAAATGAGTCTTTATCCTTAAGGAGCTCACAGTCTTATTGGGGAGGTAGCTAAATAAATCCATGATTGTGATACAATGGAGTAGGCTGTAAATGATTAAGTTATGGAATCCTGCAGAAGCATCAGATTCAACCTTGGGGAACAAAGGTTAGGGAGATGATTGGGAAGCCCAGAGTTGGTGAGGCTTGTGGTTGAAGTGAATCTTACAGGATAAGTAGGAGTTGTCTAGGTTGGGATGGAACTTGTCCTAATCAGAGGAAGTAGCCTGTACAGAGGGCCTGCAGGCAGTGAACAAATTGTGGGAAGAGTAGGTTTGTCTGGAGCTTCGGGTATGAGTGAAATACTAGTCAGGGGAGACTGGAAGACTGGGAAGGTGAGCCATAATGTGGGTACACTGAAGCAAAGGTGAGGAATTTGGACTTAATTTGGTAGATTTTTGGGAATTGTTGTAGATTTCTGATCAATGCAAGATGAATATGAGCAGGAAGATCATAATATTATAATAAATTATTTTATTCTAAATTGAGCTGTGCACTTAAATATTCTGTTTACTTGAGAAAACAAGATTATTTAAATTAAAAAATACCAATACTTACATACTGAACTATATATTAATAGTCTTTGCCAATTTTATTTTAGTATACCTTTGCCCTTTTTGCTTGACTACATCCTTTTCTGCATTTTCAGTTGGAATTTTAGAGATTAATATAGTATGCTAAATTGACTTCTCCTAATTTACCGCACAAAATTGTTTTATAAACACAATCTTCTGGTCATTTCATTACCTATTAGTCAGTGGTGGGAAAGACATGCAATCCTGAAACCCCAAAATGGTACAAAGAGCAAGCACAGACTTTTA